CAGTCCTGTTGCCCTAGGCCCCCCACACATCTTGTGCTGTAGCCATTAGATTATTCACCGTTTCACAACCGTGACAGCCCTACTGATGCTTCCATGCCATTGCACATGCTGGATCTCTCCCTGAAATGTCCTCTGCCCTGGTTCACATGACAGATTCCCATTTACCCAGTTTCAGTGTCCCTTCCCCAGTATAGCCTTCCTTCTCTGCCTCTCCTTCAGCCCCCTCCACTGTTCCCAGATATACACTAATGGGGCTTTTACCATTTTGCATTATAATTCTATTTGCCTATTTCTCTCCTCACCCTCAACATCTTGGCACAGCATCTACCTGACACACAGTAGGTGCTCAAATCTTATGTTGAATGCTGAATGAGAATTAATTTAGCTGTTCGAAGTTGAAGATTATGAAATAAGCTGAACTGGTTTTGGTGGGGCTCAGCATCTCATATCACATTTATTATGTTCCCAAGGGAAGTCAGGACCTAGACGGTAGAGGGATATAGGATCCAGCTGTCTGCATCCACGGCTCCTTTCCCAGCCTGCTCTGAAAGCTACCTTCAAAGTCAAAGGCTACTAAACAAGCTTACTACATAAATGGTGGGCACAGTATGAAGATGAAACATAAACATCCTGACAAGCCCTGTGGAGGAGGCTGAGAAAGTGACAGAAGGATGCTGACTGGTGGCTGGCAGGTGTTTGTAGGAGAGCAGTGATGGCTCAGCCATCCAGGAACAACCTGTCTGATCTCTTTAGGGACACCTGGAGCTTGCCAGCTCCCACTACCCAAATTACAGTAAGTGCTGCACAGTGTTTGTTTCTGCTGTGGCAGTGAGAACCGCTCACTCTTCCACCTGCACAACACAGATGGTGCAGATGGGAGCGTGCTTCCACACGAGGATGTGCAATTATGCCCAGTTCCTCCAGCTGTAACAATTACCAGGAGAACACCCGAGGGAAGGAAACAATCCCGGCAGATAGCTGTCTTCCACGCTAGCACACATCACTTAGTCCTCCCAAGAGCAGCTGCTGGATCTATGGCCTCTAGTCCCTTTCACAATCCTTCCTGGAACTCATGTATTTGAAAAACATTTGGTGAGATCAGAACATAAGGCAGTCATTAAACAGGATATATTTAAGTAAGAAAATACCAAGGCTTTATTTTTTTTTTCTTATAAAGACAGCCCTGCTATTGGCTAAGTGGAAAGATGTACACACTTCTCATGAGTAAACAAGATTTACCTGCTTCAGGCTGCATAGCATAATGCCAAAGAAGTGACATGAAGGAGGCAGAGGTGTAATGCTCTCATCTTCATAGCAATAAAATGCAAAATAAAAAAAACTTAAACGGACTTAATTAATGCTGGGCATTCCCACAGGGAAAAGGTAAGAGGACTTTAAGTCGATCGGTAGTTGTACTGTGTATGACAAAAAAATTCCGTCAGGCTGAGCCACCTGGCTCTCCCCATCTGAGGTATACAGTCTGGAACCGACAAGGCTGAGAGTCAGGAGCTTCTGCTTTACAGTCCACTGAGATATGAAGGAGGCAGAGTCTTGGAAGACCGGATGACCCACTCTGGTGAGGCACCTACGTGCAGCAGTGTCGCATATGGAAGTTGACAACATACTCAGCGTTAGTCCTCTGCACAGAGATAGCAAAAGGCTCGAAAGGGTGGAAGGTGAAGGCAACAAGGCGTCGCACCGTGTGGTTGATGGGACGGCCCAGTAAGCCTGCCTGAATCTCAAACTTGAGCAGACCAGAGTCCCGGGCATAGAACCTAAACAGAACAAGAGAGAAGGAGAGGATGGGACAGATACTGACCACCGTCTTGAAACCTGAACAGCAGGAAAATGTGCCAACTCATTATTTAACCTCACTGATGACATCTCCTCTAACAGCAGCCCCAGGTTATTGGAACTGCAAAATCACCTTTGTCTGATCAGCTCATTTTACGGGCAGGGTGATAATGAACTTCCCTGTGCTGTCCTGAGTCACTGGGTCATTTCTCTTTCCCAAGATGACCCTTAGTTACAGCCTTAACTACAGCCTCCCCTTTTCCAGTAGCTACCTGCCCAAGATTGCCTAGGCCAGGACTGGAAATGAAATGTGAGCCACATACATTATTTTAAATTTTCAGGTAGCCACATTAAACAAAGTAAAAGGTGAAATTAATTTTAATAATATTTTATTTAACCCAATATTGGTATCTAAAATATTATCATTTTAACCTATAATCAATATAAAAGATACTAAAAAAAATTTTTTATTGTACTAAGCCTTTGAAATCTGATGTGTGTTGACACTTGAGCACATCTCAACTTGGACTAGTCACATGTTAGTGATGTCAGTGCTCAACAGCTACATGAGGTTAGTAGCTACTATAGAACAGTGCAGGTCTAGGCCTATATTTGAGTTTTTCACTTTTAAGAATAAATTCCTTTAGAAGGTTCTTCTTTTTCACACACAAATACAAAATACTAAGTAGTTTTTACTTTTTCATCTAACACAGTAAGAATAAAGATGCTTCCATCCATCCCAATACTTAAATAAATGCCTTTTTCCCACATGCAAAATAAGTGCCCTGTGAACTTGGGAACTAGAGATGATCAGCAGCGTTGGGGCTGAACTGGGGGAAGTTCTAGAAAATAAAGAGCTCTGAAATAAAGAGCTCTATAATTTCCCTTTTGGGAAGCAAATATATACTAGACGTAAAGATATTCATACCCCTTGACTCAACAATCCCATTTCTAAGAACTTGTATCCTCAGAATTTAATTTAAATGCAGTAAATAGTGACATGAATAAAGATGCCTACTACAGCATTAGCTCTAATGTAAAAATGCAGAGAGAATAATGCTCAGTAATAGGGGAATAGTTAAATCAATTATGGTACACCTACTTGATGGAATAATATGCCACCATTAGGACTGTAACTGTGAGGACTATGTAACAATATGGAAAAATGTTTATTAAATAAAAGCAGGCTACAAAGTATTATGCCAACCATGATTACAACTGTGTAAACGTAAACATGCATACTGGCAAAGACTAGAATGGAATATACAATAAGTGTTAGAGTAATGGCATTACCTCTACAAATGACTTTTATATCCCTACATTTCTCATTTTAAATTAAAAATAAAGAATTACAAGAAAAATCTTTTAAGTCAGGGTCAATGGCATTTCCAGATTTGTTTAAATCTTTTCAAATCAGAAAGACAGGGAAGTAAAAAAGGAGAGAAATGTATCTCGTGCTTCGTGACAATATCAAATGAGGCCTATTATCTGCTTTCATGTGTGAAAAACACATTCACCTTACCCACATAGTCCCCAGCACACAAAGGGCTTATAATTTAAAGTGAGCTGTTTGAGCTCCTAAATCTAACTACCAGTTTACAGGAAATATGGGGGAATGAGAAAGGCAGTAAATACGCCAGAGATGCAATGAGCAAAATCTAGAATGTGGTGAATACTACCGGACGAACAACCTGGTTTCTTCAACTATTTCACTGCAAAGAAAGTAAGAGGGAAGCAGAACCCATAGAATAAAAAAGACTTAAGAGGATAGCAACCAAATACAACATACACACCTTGTTTAGATCCGGACTGGAACAAACTGTAAAAAGACTATGCACAAGACAATAGGGAAATGTGAAAACTCACCAGATATCGATGATCTTAATATATTTTTGTTAATTTTCATAAGATGGAATAATGGTATTAAGGTTGTATGTTTTTAAGTCCTTACCTTTTAGAAATTCATACTGAAATATTTACAAGTGAAATGCTATGACACCTGGGATGTGATGGTCCAGGGTGGCAGTTGGGAGGGGAGAAGTGGTGGTGGAAAGAGATGAAACAACACTGACCATGAAGTGATAACTGTTGAAGCAAGGTGATGGGTACAGGGAGGTTCATTATACTCTTCTACTTTAATATGTTTAAAAATTTCCATAGGGCTTCCCTGTGGCGCAGTGGTTGAGAGTCTGCCTGCCGATTCAGGGGACACGGGTTTGTGCCCCGGTCCAGGAAGATCCCACATGCCGTGGAGCGGCTGGGCCCGTGAGCCATGGCCACTGAGCCTGCACGTTCGGAGCCTGTGCTCCACAACGGGAGAGGCCACAATGGTGAGAGGCCCGCGTACCACAAAAAAAAAAAAATTTCCATAATAAAAAATTTTTTTAATTGGCTTTTGGAACCTGACTGCAATTTCTCAAAGGAAATATTACAAATGGTGATTAAGTGTTCAGAGTATGTTACACAAGCCTATTTAATACACAATGAAGCTGGATTATGAAATACTATCTACCACTATTTCTATGTGAAAAAGACCTTCCAAAATCCAGCTCAGGGCTCCAGGAACACACCTCCCTTGAAATGACCCCACTAGTGGCAGTGGTGCCAGTTCCTCTCCCTAGTACCTATTATAGCACACAGAACCACCCAAGCTCCCAGCACAGACAAGCGGGTCTGTGAATTGGACATACGTGAGGAAGGCATTGCTTACAGGAGATTAGTTTCAAGGTTCTAGCAATAATACAGTGATCTGCATTCCAAAATTCTTCCAAGTGAGGAAGCATGAGTTTCTCCAAAACCTGCCTGTTTCCCAAACCGTCTCTGCTATCGTTTCTATTAGGTAACATGAGAGGATAAAATAATTTGAGCTGGATAAAATTTAAGTCTCAATTATAAACACTATTAAGAAATGGTATTAGATTATTAAATTGAAAAGTATGGTTTCCTTCTCTGGATACCCTGAAAAGGGAACAACACTTATCTGAATTTGATGTTTTGATGAGAAGCAAAGAGCAGAACTAATTAATTTATGAGATTAGTGCCTGAATGATCAAAGTACCCACCACATTATAGAAATAGCCTACCCTCTGAATTCAACCCATGAGTACAAATGGACAGAGTCACAGTGAAATGATGTTTAAGAAGTAGAGAAAGAGAAAGCAGACCACCTCCTCAGGCAGTGAGCAGCTGAAGCAGGGATGGTGTACCTGATAGGGTGATCTCCACAAGTCTTGGGCCGCTCCATGACTGACACCCACTTGTCATCGTAGCTGAAGAGAGACAAATCAAGGTAGGGGCTACCACTGTAAGACTGGGCGCTGATGGGGAGCTGACCCAGCAGCCGGCGTACTGCCTCCGTGTGCCCTCCATACTTGGCATTTACAATAGTGTCTTTAAACCTAAAATAAAGCACCAGTGAGGAAGGCTATGTTAGTGGCACACAAACTGCACTGGGTTTTAAATTGACAAACATATGTCTAAAAACAACTCATTCTGAAAACAAAATCTAGATATTGAATTCTGACACATCACAAATCTGCCTAGCTACAAATATTCTCAAAAAGTAAAAATAGAATGAGAAATTGGGAACATTAAGTTACTTTAGAAAAGTTAGCAAATATTCTACAAAAGTTAACAACAGTATGACTAATCTATGACAAATATTTCTACTCAAACTTATTTCCTCCAAATAGCAGCCTTAGACTACATTAAAAATGAGTTACACAGAGCAGAAAATCCTGAACAGACACAGCCTCTGACTCTTCTTGGGATCAGTTATAAGCCAACTTACATCAAACCTTTTGACAAATTACTCATTCTTTGTTTAAATAAAGCTTGGGAGCTTGCTACTTATACTTCTGCCAAAACTCCAGTATCTAGAAGAACAGTAACATGGATACAGAATCACCTATCTGACTTATCATTAATAATAACAATAGAGCAGTTATTTCTCACAATTATAATGAATACTAAATTTAATACCCTTTGACCAAGTATTTCTATTCTTCTGGAAATTTGCCCTAAGGAAGAAAAATCCCTGTGCACGTTCAATATAGCACTGTTTAGGACAATGAAAAATTGAGAGAAAAATTAAAAACCTAATAATAGAAAACCATAATTTTCAAAAATTATATGGTAAAAGAGGAACTGTTTATCATAATGGTAAGTAAAAGAAGTAGGCTACAATCTGTATATATAGTATGATCAAAAACACACACAGGGGCTTCCCTGGTGGCGCAGTGGTTGAGAGTCCGACTGCCGATGCAAGGGATACGGGTTCATGCCCCGGTCCAGGAAGATCCCACATGCCGCAGAGCGGTTAGGCCCGTGAGCCATGGCCGCTGAGCCTGCGCGTCCGGAGCCTGTGCTCCGCAACGGGAGAGGCCACAACAGTGAGAGGCCCGTATACCGCAAAAAACAAAAAACAAAAAAAACCACACACACAAATTTATGCCTTAAAAAAAAAAACTGGTGGAAATACATCAAAATGGTAATAGTTGTGTTTGTGTAATGACATTTTAGATTTTTTTTAACCTTCTTTTTCACTTTCCTATAGTTCCTTAGAAAATATGTCAACTGTTTATCAGCTTGATTTTTCTTTTATTCTCTATATTGAAGCATATCATATAGTTTAACAATCAAGGGGAAAATAATTTTTTTAGTCCAGGGGAGAATATACGATATAACATCTCATCCCTGAAACTAATGGAATAAAAAACTTGAATGTTCAGGACTTCCTTGGTGGTGCAGGAATCCGCCTGCCAATTCAGGGGACACGGTTTCGAGCCCTGGTCTGGGAAGATCCCGCATGCTGCAGAGCAACTAAGCCTATGCGCCACAACTACCGAGCCTGCGCTCTAGAGCCCACGAGCCACAACTACTGAACCCACATGCCACAACTACTGAAGCCCGCGTGCCTAGAGCCCGTGCTCCGCAACAAGAGAAGCCACTGCAATGAGAAGCCCATGCACTGCAACGAAGAGTAGCCCCTGATCGCCGCAACTAGAGAAAGCCCACGCGCAGCAACAAAGACCCAATGCAGCAAACGATAAATAAATAAATAAACAAACAAACTTGAATGTTCGTAACTTTGATGAGACCATAAAGATTGATTAGATGGGTTTTGATTTGTTTTCACTGCTAGCCTGCAGTGCTAGGTGGACATTAACACTTCTCAGTTCCCCCAAAAGAAAGCCTAGTGTTAACACTGCTCTTCCATTATTTCTCTTGACAGTAATTTTCACAGCCTCAGTGTAAATCATAAAATTAAACCCTGGGCCACACAAAACTTATTTCTTTCCCTTTCATTTGAGCTGATATCAAAGATCCTGGGCTCTTTGGTTTCCAGCCCTTTGTGAGTGAAGATCTAGTACTCCAATACTGCCTGACTCACTGGCTTCAAAAGTTGGATTCGAATGATGGGGCTGGCCCACAGCTTCATGATAACCACAAATCAAAGCCTCCGTGACAATCCACGGGCTGAAGCAGCTCCTATTCCCCGGGAGCACCCACCACCTCTACTCTCCAGGCTCCCCAACAACTAAAAGATGAAGCAGTGGGCTTCCCTGGTGGCACAGTGGTTGAGAGTCCGCCTGCCGATGCAGGGGACACGGGTTCTTGCCCCGGTCCGGGAAGATCCCACATGCCGCGGAGTGGCTGGGCCCATGAGCCATGGTCGCTGAGCCTGTGCGTCTGGAGCCTGTGCTCCACAATGGGAGAGGCCACAACAGTGAGAGGCCCGCGTACCGCAAAAAAAAAAAAAAAAAAAAGATGAAGCAGTCATCCCTCTGATGTCTTCACCTGATTAACTCCTAGCTCACTGTCACTGTCCAACTACGCCTCTCTTAATTCACGATTTCAAAATTCTCACAGATGATCCTTCCAACACCACGGCTTCCTAGGTCCTGGACTTCCTTTCTGCCTCAGCCACTCGTTCCAATGGTCATATCCTCAATCTCACTCTTACCAATGACTGCACCCCCCTGTAACAGGGTGCAGCACCACAGACTCCAACTATCTTCTCTCCTACTTTTCCAGCTAACTCCCTCTACTCATCCCAGCTTCAACATCCTTCAGACCCAATGGGACCTAAATTCCATTGACTCTACCAACTTTTTGCCATCCTACGCCTTCATCATGACCTCTTTTCCTTCCTTAGCCAGCTTAAATTTCACAATCATTAAAATCACAAAATTTATATCCATAAACTCACGTGGGCCCTTAATGCTGCAGGACACTCATGCTGCATTCCCACAGTCCAGCGAGTCTCCTACTCTCTTAGAAGACTATTTCATCCCCCTCCTCCATGTTCATCCTCACGTAATGGCACTGCCTTCTTTGTAACTGACAAGTAGAAGAAATGAGAAGAAAACTTTTTAAAGCTCCCATTAGCACATCTGTACCTATTTAACTGTATGTGCTGCCCTAGAAGGCTAATCCATCCACTTGGGCACTAGGTTCTATCCTCTGACCTCATATACTTAACCAATTCTGCCCCCACCCCAACTTTTCCTAACCCATCAGTTTCCTCCTATGTACAGATCAGTCCCATCTGCAAACAAACATGCCATTTTCCCCTCCCATTTAAAAAATAATATCAATAAAAGCAGAAACTTAACACCACTTGCCCCTCCAGCTAATGCACCATTTTTCAGCTCTCCTTTACAGTAAAACTCCTCAAAGCACTTTTTCCTACTGTCTCTTCTCCTCCCATTCTTTCTTAAACCCACCCCAAAGAGGCTTTCACGCCCACCATCTCACTGAAACGACTCTCATCAATGTCTCCAGTGATCTCCATGTTGATGACTCTAATCGCTGATTATCAGTCCTTACTGTACTTGACCTGTCAGGAGGATCTGACACTCCTTCCTCAGAGAAACTACTAGACCTCTCCACTTACAGAACTTCTGATCTTCTCGCCTAAACCTGCTCCACCCACAAGCTTCACCATCAGAGTTTAATGGTAACACTCTCTTAACAAGTTGACTGGGCCAAAAATGTTAGAATCATCTTTGACTTTGCTCTTTCACAGCCCATATCCCATCCTCCGCTAATCTTCTGGCCTCTATCTTCAAAATACATTGAGAATACAATTACTTACCACCCCCAATGTTATCACCCTGATCCAAGCCACCATTATTCAACCAACAAATTATTACTGATAGCCTAGAATGGGCAAGGCACTCTTCTAGGTGCTTAGGATACTATAAATGAGCACAAAAGAACTTAAATCCTAGTGTCAGGAAACAAAAGGTAGCAATTTTATTTATTGGATCATTGTAATGGTCTACTAACTTCTACCCTATCCCCCTATGGTCTATTCTTATTTATTTATTTTGCGGTACGCGGGCCTCTCACTGTTGTGGCCTCTCCCGTTGCGGAGCACAGGCTCCAGACGCGCAGGCTCAGCGGCCGTGGCTCACGGGCCTAGCCGCTCCAAAACAGCAGCCAGAGTGATCCTGTTAAAACACATGTGAGACCACGTCACTCCTCTGCTCAAACACTACAAAATCTCATCTACACTTAAAGCCAAAGCCTTAGAATGGTCTTATGTGTCTGGTCCTGTCTCAGACCACATCTCTAACTACTCTGCCTCTTGCTTACTCCAGCCCGGCCACCCTGACCTCCCTGGTGTTCCTCAAACGCATGAGATCCACCTCTGGACCTTTAGATTTAATATTCCCTTTGCTTGGTATATTCTTCCCCCTGATACCCACATGGCTTTCTCCCTGACCTCCTTCAAAAGCTTTACTCAAATATCACCCTGTCGGTGAGGCCTATGCTAACAACCCCACTAGAACAGAACTGACAATCTCTTCCTAATACCCTCAAACCCATCAGATATTCTAATAATTTTAACATTTTATTGGATACATCCCTCTTGGAAACCTCCCCGTTCCTGCTTCCACCTAGTCCGACTGGTGGCCTGTCATCCTGGAACTTCCCTTTACCATCATCCTCAGAATTCTCTGTGCTTCTCTCCACTGTTAAGACTCTATTCCCTGTACCATTCTTTTATGGTTTACTAGGAAAAATACATATTCCAGAGGCTTCCATAGAAAAGGAACATGCAAGGTAATTTTTTGAGACCTTACGTGTCTGAAAATGTCTTTGTTACACCCTATTATTTGGATGTAGAATTGTAGTTTGGAAATCATTTTTTTCACAGAATTCTGAGGATATATAATTGTATTGGCTTCAAGCTTTCAGTATTATTATTAAGACTGATACCATTAATGACTTAATTTTTTTTTTAAAGCTGATGTTTTTTTTGAGTCATCAGTTCTTTATTATTATTTTTTTTTCTTTTTGCAGTACACGGGCCTCTCAGTGTTGCAGCCTCTCCCGTTGCGGAGCACAGGCTCCGGACGCGCAGGCCCAGCGGCCATGGCCCACGGGC